AAGCCTTCAGGGTTACAAAGGTGCATTTGGTGCTTAGACTTTAAATTGTTCAAATATTTTCTGACAAAATGTAGACAAACAGCAGTCCCATCAAAACAGATCTAGGTATACACTGGGTGTAATAAGCTTCCTTGCATCTACAAAGCAGTTCCTAATCAAAACTAGGTATGCCAAAAGTTAGAAGGGGGAGATGATCCCCAGTGACTGGGACAACTGTCATGCAGGAGGCCAATGTTCAATTTGCCTACAAGTACTAAGTGCTCAAGTTAGTTCTGCTCTTTGATCTTCCGCATGATGGACCAACTGGTGGCTTGAGTACTTCATTTCTGACCATCCATAACGGTCTTAAAAACAAACAAAAAACCCCAAACAAAGCCAACCAAAACCACACCAAAAAAAACCCAAAATCAAACCTGGAGATGGTCTCTGATTTTTCCTAAAGCAGAAAGGAACAAAATGCAAATTCTCAAATCATCATATGCCAGGTAAACAGCATCTACCAAGGAATACATATCAGCCTAAAAATCAAGTTCCGTGTCAGATAATCAAGCCTTTCACATCAGTAAGAGTTGTGAGACTGAATCCTCTGACCATTTTCTTCACTAATCACTATTACAGAGAACAGCAGATATGAAATGCAGCAGAAATAACCACTGTCATATTTAAGTGTACTAAAATCTCCTAAAGTGTTTCTTGAATGGTTTCACACAATCTTCTTCTCCACAGCCAATGCAGAATCAAGAGAAACTGCCTGCTTAAGCTTCCAGTTTCTAAAGGTTTTAAGTTTTACAGTTTAGCACCCACCTCTGTCTTAGTAGCTGCACCGAATCTGGTTTGTGTTTATCCCTATCATGTCTCTGAATTCCAAATCTGCATGTTAGGATTCAAATTTGGGGGTTTTGATGATTTCCATCCACATTTCAAACTACAAGTTAGGAAACAACAGATTTAAATGCTACAAACTACACCCATTCCTAAAAATTGTTTTATGTATATAAACCAGTAATTCTACATACTACAAGATGACTGATTTCACACACCAGGTGATAATACAAACCAAATCCATGCGTATGCTAAAGCAGAGAAGCAGCAATCTGGACACTATATGAGAATGCTTTTTATCACCAATATTTGATATTCCCAGAGCAAGCCTTAAAACCTGAAAATAAAGTGACATTCACATACCAACCAACTGGAGAGCATGTTTTGGTTTAAGCATAGTCATCTTTACTAAGAAAGAAACCACTGCAGCCATCAGGTTTGCCGCCTTCTGTTCAACACTAACCTCCGTGCAGCAGCTTAGTAGCCAATTTTACATCTCCATCCTATCACATTAAAGCATGGTTCAGTTACTTTGCACAGAATGGACTGGACACAAGACACAGCACTAGCCCACTGTGCTTACTTCAACATGCCTGCTAAGCATTAGCTTCCACATGCAGAAATAAAATCGAATAAACCACAGTATTCAGGCTTATTTGTGTCAGGTGACTGTATGTTTGCTCATAAGACCACACAATGGAAAAAACACATTTTAAAAGCTACTTGACAAAGCAATCACAAGTCTTCTCATAGCCACAGATTTAGTGCAATAACACATCAAGGCTTACTGTTAGGATAGCCTGATGAACCAAATGCCTATATCTTATTTTTTAATATAACCAATTCATTTATATTCTCCAAGAAGAAAATACCAGTTCTAGTACAGAACTATAAAGTACTAGTCCTTGAAATAACACGTAATATACTTATTACAATATCTGTTAGGTTAAACATTCAACATGAAATACATATCCAAATCAACAGTTAGATCAGTGAATAATTTAGACCCCAAACCAACTGCAGGAGAATTGCTTCTATTCTGAATCAAACAATGTGATAAAAAAAGTCCAAGTCATGTCATGCTAAGTGAAATCAGAGCACCAGCAACCATGAGCATCAACAACTCACTGAGGAAGAGTCCACATTTGCACAGACCCACCCCATGGCCTAGAGAAATTCATCTTGCTTGCACCCAGAAGGTCAATATGTTCAAAATATTCACTATGGATGGGGAAACCAAATACCAACTCAGAAACCATTCCTGTGGTCTCACCACCAGATCTCTCTCAAATTGAGCCTGCCAAGTTTTATGTATCTCATGTTACATGAGCCACAAGAGTTTGACAGCCCTATCATGCCATCCTGCCAAGATGCACAGAGCCAGCTGAGATCCAGGAAAGCTGACAGCTCCTCCAGCACAAGAGGAACCACCTAAGCAGTTTCTAATAGGTAAAGAAATGCAACTGCAATCAGAGCTGCACACTCACTTAAACAGCAACTATGATGACTATAACACCATTGGGATGGGGATGGGAAGACCCCAAAAAACAGACTCTTGACTGCAGGCTGCCACACATATTTCCCACAATAAAAATAAACCCCCAAAAGTTCATGCACTCCTTTAGAAAGCTATGGGTGCCTGAAAAAAGTTTTAGTCAACATAAGAAGAAAATTAAGATCTCCCCTGAAAAAGAGTGCCTATATAAGAGTTCACACTCAGAGAATGGCAAAGATACTTTTAGATTACTGACAAAAAAAAAAAAAAGGGAGGTGAAAGTCACAACAACACTTTCTGCTTAATACCTACCATATACAGAAACAAGATGTCAGTACTGTCAGGCTATTTAGAAAGAATATATACAGAGAAATACCAGTCACTAGCTCCTCCCAACAGAAGGTGAGACTTTCAGATACTGGTTAAGTGCTTGAGTGGCACAGTAGATTCCTACACAGAACAACACTCAGGCACTGTACTGATGCAAATACAAATCACCTGCTCTCACCAACTAAATCTTCACTGGTAAAGCAGAAAGCCAGGCTGACAGCTGAAAGTCAGGAAGCCCTAACTGCAAGACACAGGTGGGCACATTTACTTTTCAAGCACCTGACTACTTTGTCACAGCCAGCTTCATTTAAAGTAGAGTGACAAGGAACAGGACAAGATGGTCAAGGATCACACAACTGCTCCTTTTTTTGCCCCATGGATGAAAGCCCATTTCTGGACAGCAATTGGTACTATGTGATCCCTTCAGATCCTAGTAGGGAAATCAAAGTTAGTGGTCCCCATTGCTGTCTTCACAGCCTGCACTCCTTCATCTGTTGAGGAAAGGATTAGTTTTGGAGCATAATTAAAAGCAGCACGTTAGTCAGCTGTGACAACGGTTTCCCCTTTTCAGTTTGAAAAACATATCTGTGCTCACACACAGACAATACAGGTCATAGCCCACAGCAGTTTCACCGTTTCATTAAATATTTGAGCAGATTCAGCTTAATGCATTTTTCCAGACCTGCTGGTTGGAGATGTTAGCCCACTCTACTACAGGCTAACCCTGTCTGGCTGCGCAGGACACATGACACCAGCCACAGCTTTCACTCTGACTGTTTATTAGACATTATTCCTCACATGCATGCGCTTCCTTGCATGCACTCTTCATCTTTCAGTAGCAACAACGTAAAGATATTTCATTAAGGAAAATTTTAAGCTTTTTTGGAAAAGTGTTGTTACCAGTCCTACTTTACAGTAACAGAAAGCCACAGGTGAAGACAGTATAAAAATGCAGGCATGAAACAAACTAATTCCTCCCTTCCTTCTCTGCCATTTCAGGGTTAGAATGGGAGACACTGAAAATCGGTGTTATTATTAAAAGGTTGCTAGATAACCTAAGAAATAGTATCATAAACTTAAGATATTACCATTGCACTACAATCCTTCAAAAGCTACTTCTGGGATTTCTTTAGCAAGAATTACTATCCTTACCTAACAGAGACCATATTCACGTCAGCCTGCCACATATAGCCTTTACTCCTACATATTTCTTTCAGGAAGAAAGGTAAAAATCATGGAGCTAAAAGCAAAGGTGAAGCCATGGCTACTTGTATGCTTGACCCAAACCCCTTGAATCACCAAGGGAGAACAGTAGCAAGAGGGAGGCAGCCTACTATCCCCTGAACTGCATCTTTTCAAACAGTCACTGATATGCTTGTCCCTGATGTTGAGCTCTATCCTTGAGCACTGGATATTTATTTTTAAGTTAGTTAGTTCTGTCAACAAGTTCAGCTCTATTAAGACAGTATTATTTCCAGTTTAATAATACATTCAAGTCAATAACTGTGTTAGTTTAACTACATTATTCAGTATTACATTAATTTTGTATTTTGTCCCATTCCCTAAGAAGACACATGTCAGATTTCCTTTACCACCTTTAAAAGTTTGATCTTTCCTTCTATTTAGAAATCAAATACCGATAGCTCTCATTTTAGTATCTTAGCTTAGCTAAAGATAGCAACAAACAAGAAAACAATGCCTTGGCAAGCAAAGATCAATGATCAAAGATCACCTCAAATACTAACAATACCAAAGAAAGCCACTAAGTAGATGCCTTTTATCATCCCTGACTCTCCATTTTAAGAGCTGCAACTTGATTTTCTTCCCAAACTTTAATAGAAAATGGTACATTATATTAGTTTTGCCAACACATCAACCAGCCTTCCAGGAAATAATGTGTCAGCAACATATGGAAACTACTTGCAGGGATTTTTTTTGGCATTTTTCTCCCAACCTGGCATGTTTTTAGCATTAATTGTGAAAGCCACTAATGCTTCTGTTTTAGCTGTTAAAGTTAAAACACCAGGGAACATTAGATCAATGACAGTATGTGGTTATTGTTTGACAGAAGTCACCAAACCTCCCCTCACAAAGATTACCAGCTTCTATGTAATTTTTGCAACTAAAAGGTTTACTTTGGACTACAGTCAGGCAAACAGTTTCAGAAAGTACAAGTAATCTTATTATCCTTTAAGTAGCAAAGAATAATCTAGAAGAGCCACGTATTAAGGCACGCTTCTGTATTTATGGAATTAACAGCTTCAAGTAATATATCTGGAAAGTTATTTTGAATACAGTACCATCTCACACTAGGGCACAGTAGAAAAAAAAAGACACACCACAAACTACTTACCACAGCCAAAGTACAAGTCTTTTAGAAAAGACAAGTTGAATTTGAGTTACATTAATCATCAAAAGCTCTCCTCAGTGGCATACATCAGAGCATGGACAGTCAGTAAGATTAAGGGGAAAAGAGAAAAAATACAAAACAAAAACACAGAAGCCAGACTAGAGAGTCCTCTCACGAGATTCAAACTTTTAAAGATCAGTTCAGTCACGCAGCAATAAAAGGCTCAGGCTGAAGAATTTTCCTTAGACTCTGCCAGCACTGCATCAAAAGCTCCCTGTGTGCTAGCAACATGTCCTAAGAGCAGGTTTGACAACAACTTCATAGATTTGACAGAGGATACATGCAAAGAGGTTATTTTCTCTAACACTTCAAGCCTTATTTACAGTGAGGGACAAGAGCTCTGTTCAACAAAGTAAGCAATTGGTTTGCCTGGCCAGGTCTGGAGCAAGAGGAGGATGGACTTGTCCCACTCCCCTTTCTGTTACTGAGGAACCCCTAAGACTTAAAAAGCACAAACTGCTATTTTCATAAAGCTATGAGCTACCACAACTCAAATATAGAGTCAGGCTACAAACTTATTCTACAGCAGTTGCAGTGCCACCCATGCTGTGTTGTCTGACAGGGCTCCACAAGGAGCTGGATGTTCAGAGCTCTAAGTGTGCAGGTGCTGGGGGGCAAAACACTGCCCCTATGCTCCAAGTCACAAGGAGAAACGCACACTCCCCTCACACACACCCCCACTGGCATCCTTTCCCAGTGCATCACATATTACAACAGCTACCCCAGAAGACAACTTTTATTAAAATGTCTTCAGAGCAGCTTGGACAAATTTAATCTTAGCCTACCTCCAGACACCCTGAGGAAAGAACAGTTGTTTGGAAAAGCCAAACAACTGTCAAACAATTATGCCTTTTTGCCCTACAGAACTAACAGTTCTCCCTCACCTTTTTTAAGTGACAAACCACAGTGTCTTACTCCTGTCTGCTACAGGCAAGGAAAGATGAACATGGTTCTTCCAAAAAGCTGAAGACTTTCCTTTACTCAATTAATTTAACCACATCATAGATTTACCCTGAAGTGGATAAAGTGCTGTTACACCTATTTACTGCAGCCTTCTCAATTAATTCAGCATTGCAGGAAAAGTAAAAGAAGGGGTGAAAAATAAAAAAGGAAACTCAGGATACACTAGCTATGTAAAACAGTGTTAGGATTCTATTTCTTTCCTCAGGGTATAAAAGAATTGCAATAAATAGATACATTTTAACAAAGTAAATTTAAATGTGAAATTATGACAGCTATTTTAAACTCCACTGTAACATATGCATCAAAAACATTTGAGTGGCATGTGCTCACTCACAATGTTTTAAACAGAGATGAACTAATGGCTTTGGGTACAAACTTAGAGTGAAGAGTTAAAATATTTCAGAGTAATTTCTCTTTCTGAACAAGAAACAGAACTTTATCTCCATGCCTTTAATTTATTCAGTTCAATGACTGCATTTTCAAGCTATAAGAAATGTAACCAACTTGAAGTCTCTTAAAAGGTCACAAAAACTTTAGACCTTTTCTTAAAAAAAGCATAATACTTCTGAAAAAAGAAGTTAGGAATCTATTATATATAATGTGTAATGTGCATCCTGTTGGTGATAATTATTATGAGAAATCATACAGTTATCTTTGATTGTAAGTGAGAATTGGTAATGCACCATCCTGAAACGACGGCACAGAATATCAGGTAACTCTTTTTCCTACAGAGAAATACGTGAAAACTACTAAGACATCCTTCAGCAACAGATGCTAAACGAATAAAATGCTTGCACTCAGAACAGGAAACAACTGTTTACGCTGTGTTCCTAGATGACAACCTCTACATCAGTGAGCTTTGTAACACTGAAGTGCTTCAAGGTGTCAAATGAACTAATTCTGCAAATCCAAGTCTTTATCTGTCTACAGCTCTGCTGAGCTACCAGTAAAAGACAACAATACTGGAACAGCCAAGACTTTGGCACTGCACAACTTGTCACTGAGATCCCATCTCAATGCCCCAAATACTGGGTCCCATTTCATTGTTTACCCATAAGAAAAATATATTGCACCAGAAATTTAATAGAAAAGCGGAAAGCTGAGCACCTGCAGAACAGGAATAGCTGTATGCAGGCTATAATCATCTCTCAGATTAAAAAAAACCAACCAATGCACAGAGGAATCAGAAGCAACTAAAGCAGTAAGTATATATCCATTGACTAGGAGGATACTCAGTTTGAAAAACCTCCCACTCAGCACCACAGGCATTCTCCATTCAGAGTTTCACTGCATGGTAAATCCTGCTGCTGCTCAGTCGGCACACAGGACAGAGCAAGATACATTAAACAACCATGTGCTACCACCACCCCCAAAATAAAAACATCATCAGCTGAAGCCTGCATGCTACATGACCTTAACGATTTCTGTAAAGCTGCTCTTTAAGGTCATTCCATGCTGAGCTGTGGGACAATGATTCTGCTTTATTACTCCCCACTTTGCTCATGACTATCTCCCTCATGGAGATTAACATGCTTTACCTCTATTTAAATACAGCCCAAACACCTCCCTGTATAAAAAGGTGATTACCAACCACCCCCTCTCCTTCTCCTCTCTCCTTCAGAACACTTAGCATCCTGCTAAAAGGAGGATGCTTTTTGGCACTGTGCATATTTTATAACAATTTACTTAGGCACCACCCCTTCAGGCCACATAAATCACATGATAATATGTATTAATTCTGTGCAAAGGATATGCAAACACAAACTCAAGCAATTAACTGTAACACTGGACCAGAGTTCTTCACGTCCGTGCTGAAAGAGAGATACCACAAAACTTAATCAGAGTTAAACAAAATACTAGTTTGTATGGGAAGTTGTTGCAACCTCAAATATTTCACAGGCTTAAAATTATGGGATTTATAATTATTTTCATTAAGAGTTCTTCAGTGTGAGGTTTCACATGTTGAAAAACTCACATACTCAACTTGAACATCAAATTTGAGTAACAAAGCAAGATGAGGAAAGAAAATTGTCTCTCTCTGCCCAGCCAGGCTTATCCCAGCACGTCTCATACACTGCCTCATTCCCCCAACTGCAGAGAGCATCCAGTCACCAATGTAGCATGGCTGTGACCTGGCCACTAACAGAAAATACTTGGGATACTTGGCTGAAAACCTGGGTTTGCATCATCTGGCACAAGGAGGTGGGAAGCACTCCCCTGAGAGGGATGCTTTTAACAGAATTCTTGGTAAATTTAAAGTCAGAATAAAACAGGATTAGAGATGCACTCCCAGGGTCAAAGCTCCCACCTCTCCTCCAGACACAGACAACACAATCCTTTAGATTAAGGTAAAGAGCACTAGACATCTGAAGAACACCAGTGCAACTGCTCTTGGCTTTCATCTTTAATTTTTGCCAATTCAAGTCATAAATACCAAGAATCCCATATTGTTTGAGCTTTATGCTCATCAAACCTTTGCTTAACCTTTGTGTTCCAACTCAAACAAAAAGAACTAAAACCAAAAAGTTACCTGAAATGAACAAGTTAACCAGTTTTCAAGATGTTTCAAATTCCTTCATGTAGATCGGTATCTTTTGGGATAATTTTTACCAGAATCTATACTAGCTTGTACATATTGGACTTTGACCCACAGATGAGTCCTCCTATTTAACCTAAAAAGTTACATAAAAAATTCTGATACTATCTGTAAAAAATTCCCTTCCCCTCAGCTAAATAGGAAAATTGAATCAGTTGTCCTCCTTTAGGATACCCTTGTTCAGGATTAGCATTAAATTATATTCGAAGCTATCAGATCACTGCACTATTGAGAATTTTTTTTTTTTTTTTTTTGGCTACCCAGGAAACTGTTTGAGTCTCAGGGTTAAGTACATGCCGTTCTACTTAAATGGCAATATGCCAAACTCGTTTAAATATTTAAACATTAACCTCAAAGTCACTGGTTTGTAGAAAGGCAGCCGTTAGTCCAGAAAGGTTAAATTTGTTCTCCAGGCAGTATCGTTGAGTACAAAGGCCACTTTGCCACCTCCTGAAAGTGATTTCTGGAAGAGCTGAAGAGCATGGAAAAGTTACTGGAGTATTCATAATTGCTTCAACAACAGACTTGTCTTTGCAAGTATGCACAGATGCACATGTGACATTTTCCCCTTCTGGAATTACAGATTCATCTTCTATGTTTAAAAATGCTACTGTTCAGCATTAGGAAAGTCAAGAAGTTTTGAAGATTTCAAAGACGAGTTTTCCTTCCGTTATTCTACATCAAAACCCCAGCTACTTATAAGTAGTAACCAGTATTCTACACTGACTGCTAAAAATAAGGCAAATTTTAAAAATTTCTCTGTGACAATGAAAAAACCCAACAGTACAAGGACTTAAAAAAACCCAAAACACTAAAGAACAAAAAAACCCACAACATTGAGGTCATATCTACATTTACAGAACAAGAACAATAATGAAAAGCATAGGGTTGCCACACTTACACTTCTTAATAGGTTGTATGATTACACAGTTATTCAATGTTATTTTGAGGCACAAAAGGAATTGTATTCACCATTTAAGATTCCTCTAAAATTGTGCTTCTCTCAAACAAAATCCAAAAACAAACACTGAAAGGCTATTAACACTTAAGAGATTCAAGGATCTGGACCTTTGCGCACTGTTAAAATTGTTCACTCACAACTAAATAAGTGGGATGAATACTAATATCTAATTTTTTAATGAACTGGCGGGG